TTTATGAAGGGCTTCAATTTCTTCTTGCATCGCCATCATCCATAGTGAAGCATCTGAGTTGTTTATTGCCTCCTGGAATATTGATGGCTCACTGTCCTCTTTAGTATGCAATATTTCCTTCTATAATATAATCTGAGTGCCAATTGGGATGTCTTTTCACACAATCTGATTGACGATTTATTGGAGCTTCAGAACTCTCTGGTTCTTGTTCATCATATGTTGGTTCTGCTTTAGAAGAATCTCCTTGTTCAAACTCCTTTTCCACATGTATTTGCGTAGTCTCTGACTTTTCAGCTCTATCATCGTCTTCTTTTCTTTATACTTTATCTTCTACAAAGATAACATCCCTGTTGATTATCACTTTGCTGGAAATGGGATCCCACAAGCGATACCCCTTTATACCATCAGCATACCCCAAGAATTTGCATTTCCTAGATTTTGGATCCAACTTTGAAATTTCTTGGGAGTTATACATCACGTACACAATACTTCCAAATATATGGATGTTTGAATAATCAACTGGTTTACCAGTCCACATCTTCATTGGTGTCTTTAGCTCTATTGCAGTTGATGGAGTTTGATTCACCAAGCGATATTGACTGGTTCTACCCCAAATTATTTTTCTAGGCCTGCAGCCCTCAACATTGCTCTTGTTCTTTCTAACAAAGTTATGTTCATCCGCTCTGCCACTCCATTTTGTTGAGGAGTGTTTGCCACTGTGAACTGTCTTTTGATGCATTCTTTCCTGCAAAAGTCATCAAATTCTTCACTTGTGTATTCTCCTCCATTGTCTATTATGAAACACTTGATCTTATTTCCAGAATCAAGTTCCACCCGCGCTTTGAAGTTTTTGAAAGTTGAAAACACGTCTGACTTCTTCTTAATAGGGTACACCCAACATCTCCTGGAGTAGTCATCAATAAATGAGACAAAAGTATTTTGCTCCGCCTAGGGATGTAACTGGTGCTTTCCATACGTCAGAATGAACCAATTCTAGTACACTTTTGCCTCTAGAATTTGACCTGTTAAATTTTAACTGGTTCTGCTTACTTGTTATACAATGCTCACACAAAGTAAGTGATACATTTGTTAAGTCTGAAAGTAGCTTTTTCTCCACAAAGACTTTCATTCCTTGTTCTGACATGTGTCCAAGTTTCTGATGCCATAGCATTGCAGAATCTGAACTACATGAGGCAACAGAGGCTTCTGCTCCTAGCAAAGTTTCTCCCTTCAGCATGTATAAGTTTGATGCTATCTTTTCGCCTTTCATCACCACAAGTGCTCCACGGAACACCTTCATGATTCTTTTTCGTGTTTCAATCTTGCTTGAATTATTATCCAACAATCTATAGGATAATAAATTTATCTTCAGGCCTTTCACATACTGCACATCTCGAACAACTTTAATTGTTCCATCATACATCTTCAATTTGATGGTTCCAACGCCAACGATCTCTAAGGCATGATCATTGCAACTATACACAGATCCTCCTGAGACAGGTTCATAATGATGGAACCATTGTCTTCTTGAGGTCATGTGATATGTTGCTCCTGAATCAATGAGTCATATATCTACAAATCTCTTTTTACCTTCTACGGTGGTTGACGCTTCACAACATAGAGCATCTCCATCATCTGAAGCGTTTGCGGTATTGCCTTGTGGATTGGAGTTTTTACCTAGACTCTAACAATCCTTCTTCAAGTGACATTTCTTTCCACAGTTGTAACACTTTAAATTCTTCTTGCTTCTCGACTTTGATCTACCATGTTTGTGACTATTGCTTTGGCCACGTTATGTTGATCACACTATCATCGTTGTCAACGCTTCTGCTTGTTATAGATTTAGTTGTTTGTCTTCCTTGCTCTTGCACTGATTTTTTTCTTGTAGAACAACAACTACAAAGTCATCGAAGACTAGACTGGTAATATTACTGTTTGTCAAGTTGATGATGAGTTGATCATACGAACCACGTAAACTTTGAAGTAGAAGTTCAACACGTTCTTGTTCTCCTATTGTATATCTTAAGGATGTAAGCTGAGAAAATAAAGTGTTCAGTGTGTTTAAGTGCTCTGTCACTGAAGTAGATTCTAGCATCCGGAGACTGTACAATTTCCTCTTAAGGAAAATTTTATTGTGCAAAGATGTGGCCTCGTACAGTTTGGTGAGATGATCCCATATCTTCTTAGCTGTCTTCTTCTCCTCGATGCTTGACAATACTTCATCTGCTAATGCTAGATGAAAGTTTGACATAGCATTCCCGTCCATTTCGATCCATTTGTTGTCATCTGTGAAATCTATCAGCATTTCACTGATAGCTGTTAGACAACCGTCTTTCCTCGGGATGGCCTTCATCTTCAATTTCCGCAATGAGAAATTTCTCCCATTGAACTTTTCAATATCAAATTTCGTTTCCATAGCTTCTATTGCAGATATCTCCCAATATTTCACTATCGTGAATAGTTCTCTGTAACCTTCAAAGAATGGGTAATAACTTCTTACTTTCTTATGTTGGAGGATCCACCTTTTGGTGGAAACCACAAAGACAATAAGTAGATATTACACACTCAAATCTGGCTCTGATACCAATTGTTACGGAATACGGCTATCAGATAGAGGAAAATCGTAACTGATAATTTGAGAAAATAAAAATGAAGATAAAGAAGATACAAATTTGATGTGGAAAACCCCTAACTAATATAGGGTAAAAAACCATGGGAAAAGATAGAAGAATTTTACTATGATAAAATAGGAATTACAACTTCTCTCTATCTAACAAGAAGAAAACCATAACAATTCTCTCTTTATAAAAAGGAGAAAACAACTCTCAAGAAAACTCTCTAAATTCTATAATATTGGGAGAAAGCTAGAATGTTTTGGGATGGTTTTGAAGCTAAATGGGTTAGGGTATTTATAATTGAAGCTTAAGGACTAATCTTGTAAATACCCTAAAATACATGGACTACATTTGAGATTTTACCATGCTACTTTTTTCAACAATTTCGGTGAAATTTCTGCTGCCAAATTTCGGTGCTTTCGATGCATTTACACCAATTTTCAACACAACTCTCAATACAAGAAATTTTGATTATTTCAACAAAATTATTTATCATTAAAAGTACTAAATTTGTCATGATATATTTATTTTGACTAATTTTATTTGTTACAATATTTGTTAGAACAACCTTGTAATGTAAAGTATATTGTGATGAAATTCTGTTCGTTACCATTTTATAGTATTTATTGTAACAATGAAATTTTGTTACTATAATAACTTATCGCAATAAAATATTTGTCACAATCAATTAACCATTTTGTCACGAAAACTACATTTTGTCATAACTAACTTATATTTTAACATCAAATATAAAGATTTTTTGTGACGAAAATAAATACGGTAAAAAAATTATTTGTCACAATTTATATTTCGTCACTTAATGTAAAATACAAAGACAAAATATTTGTTAAAATAAAATATTTATTTTATCACAAAAAGTAAATTTTGTCACAATTAACTTAAATTATAACGTCAAATAAAATGTTTTCGTGACAAAAAGACATGTTACAACAAAATTTAATTTCTCACTACTTTTATTTTGTCACTGAATATTTTCTATAAATTTTTTCTATGACTAAATAATTATGTTGCAATTTGTTATTGTGAAAGAATATTACTTTGTCACAAATTTTTATATTGAGAAATTAATATTTGTTATAAATTGTTATTTTGATTAAGTAAATTTGTCACAATTTTTATTTTAACAAAATATTGCGACAAAATAAATTTGACATAACTTTTTATTTTGACTAAATTTACCGTGTTATTGTAACTAAATAAATTTATTACAATTTATTATAGTGATAGTGAAAAAATGTTATTTGTCATAATTTTTTATATTGAGAAATTAATATTTATTATAAATTATTATTATGATCGAACAAATTTGTCAACAAATAACATAATTGTTATTTTGAGAAAATGTATTAAGTTACAAAATAACCGATTTCTTCCCCTACGTCGATCGGTTGACCTAACTGTTCACCGTTTTGGCGCTCCATCTCTAAAGCTTAGATCAACTTCTAAAACCATGTTGCATGGTCAATTAGAGACTGTTAGACTGTTATCAATGCAGCACATGCATGAGGAGGCAGTTAGTCTATTAGGTTGATTAGCTAAGAGTGTTAGTTTGTTAGACGGTTATTGGCAACTAATGAGAGCTTAATCTTCTCTTATAAATGCAATGCACTAGCTGAGATGAATACAAGTCATTTACAATAAAAATATCTTCTGTGCTTTCATCTTTCATTTTCTTATTTTCCTGTATCTCCATTCTTCAACTCATACCATCGTCTCAACTTCCATGGCTGCTTTCTCACATGGTATCATTCGCCTAAGATCCTGAAACCGTTTTTTTCTTCCACTCTGTTCCGATTTATTACTTTTACCCACCCGTCTATTATTTTTTTTTAGTTATTCAGCCTAAAGATCTTGACGTTGATACAATTCTGTTCGCCAAACGTCGCTCCGTATAGTATCATCACCAACACTCTCGATCGTTAAACTGAATCAGATCAGAGTCTCGTCCGTCGTTGTTACTTTCGTTCGTTATTGTTGTCAAGCTTTTTCGATCTGATCGACATTGACACTGCTGCTCATTTCCGCCGGTCTTGTAGTTGCTTCACTCATCGTCGATTGGTTTCCATAATCGCAAGTCTCACATGCGCCACTGTTTGATTCCTTTACTACTAGTACACGTTTTCATAGGTTGCTAGTCATTCCTGGAACCTTAGTTGTGCTTTAACAATGGATCCAGATTTTTATTTGTTTTGGTGATTCGTGTCCTACGTTTAGAGTTGGATCAGTAGTTGTTGGTGTTGATAGATTATTCTGATTTCGTTAAGTTTGTTGGTGTTGATAATCTGCGATTGTTACAGTTCGGTGCGCAAGATTAAAATATATTCGATGAAATTACTTAGAGAAAAAAAGAGAGAAGGATTAACAATGTATGTGATTAAGAGAGACGGGATGCAAGAGACAATTCATTTTGATAAGATAACGGCGCGGTTGAAGAAGTTGAGCTATGGACTCAGTATCGACCACTGTGATCCGGTCCTTGTGGCTCAGAAGGTCTGCACTGGTGTTTACAAAGGAGTTACTACCAGCCAGCTTGATGAATTGGCTGCTGAAACCACCGCCGCCATGACCGCTAACCACTCTGATTATGCTTCCTTGGCGGCAAGGATTGTCGTTTCAAATTTACATAAAAATACTAGGAAGTCATTCTCAGAGACGGTTAAAATCTTGTACAATCATTTCAATGAGAGATCTGGACTGAAGGCTCCTGTGATTGCTGATGATGTTTATGAGATCATCATGAAGAATGTTGCTCTGTTGGACAGTGAGATCATATATGATCGGGACTTTGACTATGATTATTTTGGTTTCAAAACCCTTGAGAGGTCCTACCTTCTGAAAGTCCAAGGGAAGGTTATAGAAAGGCCTCAACACATGTTAATGAGGGATGCAGTTGGAATTCATAAGGATGACATTGGTTCTGCTATAAAATCTTATCACATGATGTCTCAAAGAGGGTTCACTCATGCTTCTCCCACATTTTTCAATGCTGGAACTCCAAGACCTCAATTGAGCAGCTGCTTCTTGTTGTGCATGAAAAATGACAGTGTTGAGGGAATATATGACACTTTGAAGGAGTGTGCTATCATCAGCAAATCAGCTGGAGGGATTGGTGTCTCAGTTCACAATATTCGAGGTATGGGCAGTTATATTCGTGGAATAAATGGTACATCTAATGGCATTGTTCCAATGTTGCGGGTGTTCAATGACATTGCTCGTTATGTTGATCAAGGAGGGGGAAAAGGTGGTTCCACTGGAGTCTCATCCATCAAGGAGGCTTGTTGGTAGTAGAGGTTCCCATAATAGATATTTTGACTTTGACAAACTGGCAGAGGTTACTGAGATTGTTAAAAGAAATCTTAACAAAATAATTGATGTACATTACTACCCAGTTGAAACTGCCAAAATATCAAACTTACGTCATAGGCCTATTGGTATAAGAGGATGAAGAAGAAAGAAATGAAGGTGAATAAGAAGAACGGAAGGAAGCATCGGCACTTCTGATTCAAATCGAACGGAAGGAAGCATAGGCACTTCCGATTCAAATCGAACGAAAGGAAACATCGGCACCTCCGATTCAAGTCGAACGGAAGGAAGCATCGGCACTTCCGATTCAAGTCGAACGGAATGAAGCATCGGCACTTCCGATTCAAGTCGAACGGAAGGATGTGTCTTACCTTGTTGAAGGAGGAAGAGAAAGTAGAGGGAATGTTAGACTGTTATCAATGCAGCACATGCATGAGGAGGCAGTTAGTCTGTTAGGTTGATTAGCTAAGAGTGTTAGTTTGTTAGACGATTATTGGCAGCTAATGAGAGCTTAATCTTCTCTTATAAATGCAATGCACTAGCTGAGATGAATACAAGTCATTTACAATAAAAATATCTTCTGTGCTTTCATCTTTCACTTTCTTATTTTCATGTATCTCCATTCTTCAACTCATACCATCGTCTCAACTTCCATGGCTGCTTTCTCACAGAGACAGTATAGTTACAACATTTTGGAGTGACATATGGATCCCTGAACTTGGAACTCTGCGCGATCATGCTATGTCAAATATCCTCGTCGATAATTCAATCACAGTAAACAATTTTACTGAAATATCAAACGGTGAAGTAACATGGAACTGGAACCTTCTGAACAGAATCCTTACCCCAGCAACCATTTCATTCTTCTTTAGTTCCCATCCACCATGCATTTCCTTGGATCGAGATATCTGCTACTGAAACATAAACAATCGACGAATTTTAATGGTGAATAATGCCTATGAAACAATCTCAAAATCAAGTTGGAATGACCACAACCCGAACTGGAATCTAATCTGGAAACTTCAATCTCCAGAGAAAATTTGATGCCTTCTTTGGTTGGCTTATCGTGACAGACTCCTTACAAATCATATCAGACGTGCTCGTGGATTTACTCATGATGCTTCTTGTGGACAATGCATATCGCCTGACGAGACGTTACTTCATATTCTCCGCGATTGTAAAATCGCCCGAGATCTCTGGCAACAACTAGCTCCAAGCACATATGTGCCTGCATTCTACACCCTTCCCCTACAAGAATGGATCTTAGAAAACCTTCGCACCACTTCCCAAAGTGTTGCTGCTCAATGCCCCTGGAATTTCACATTCTCAGTCGCGACTTGGCACCTTTGGAAAGGAAAAAACTCAGCCATTTTTCCAAAACATACCAAACATAGCAAACTCATTGCTTCGAGCAGGATTGACGTGGGCAAAATGTTTAAACGCCTCATCTACTAGATCACCGGTAACTAGGAATTGCACTTCTTCGATGATTCAATGGAGCCCACCTGAAACGATATTTATTTGTTTAAACACAGACGGAGCAGGCTCGACAGTCTCTAGACAAGCTGCAGCAGGTGGAATCTTCCGAGACCACCTTGGAAATTTGCTATTGGCCAATAGAACCACTGTTGTTGTTGCTTATAATAATGATCTTACAATAAGGAAAACATCAGCATGGTCACCAGCATCAGCACCTCTTCAGATTCATCGGAGACTTATCCTCCCGTTGATGAGGCATGCTTATAATAAGGAGGCATAAGGGAGGCTTATCCTCCAGAGAGTGCTGAACAAGGAGGCATGCTTATAATAAGGACTATTGAATCCATTGCTTCCGAGGAGAAACATCGGAGACTTATCCTCCCGTTGAGGTTTTAGAGGACGGAGAGATGTGGCGCACAAAGAGGATAAATGGCCAAGTGAAAAACAATACGCATGAAAGGCTAGGGTTTTTGTGTTCTCATAAACTTTTTGGTATAATTAGGACATGGGTCCTTATATTATCACGTATTGTCATCTGTTGTACCTTAGTTTCGTTTCTTTCAATTTGGTCACTCAATGTTTCTTTACTATTTTTGATCGTGGTCCACAGTTTTGTTTTAGTACAATTTAGTCATCATTTTATGCTATTATGTTTTATTTTTAAATGACTATTAGCTTTTAATTTTATTACATTTTAATCCCTTGGTTGTTTTTATTTGTATTTAATTTTGTTGGATAATTTATATTCCTTTCAATGTAGTCATAGAATCTTAATTTTAGATCAAATCCTTAGGTTTAGATTTCTTTTAAATAAATCCCTACTAGAGTAATTAGACATAATATCAAAGAAAAAACTCGTTTTATTTTTTCCTTCGCGATGAAAGAAGAAATATAAAGTTGGAATAATGGCCTGAAACGGTTAAACTGAGGGTTTTAAAAAAGTATTTATAACATAAATACAAATAAATTTCTCTAAAAACAAGTTCCCTTTAAAAATCAATTTCCTTTAAAATAAAATAGAGGGAAATTTCTCTCCTAAATAAAACCTAGGTATTTGTATTTTCGGGTCATCGATACCGTATTATATTTATTTAATTTATATTAATTTTCAGAAAAAAGATACCTAAGGCTCTTGTACATTAAAAAAATCAATTTGACCATCAAGTTACTACTGCATTCAATGCGACCCTCAAACATAGAAAAAAAAAGACCCTTTAACCATCAACTTCTATCATTAACCATTACAAAACTATTTAATAAAAAATATTAAAAAGAAGAGTATTGTAGTGAATATAACATAATAAATGGAAGTAAGCTTTACCTAAACTTAATGTAAAAAATTTAATAGTTTGTCCAACTATGGTTAATATATATTGTTTAAAACTTACACGTTCATTCCCAATTCAATATATATATATATATATATATATATCAAATTTTAAGCAATTTAATTTTCATTTTTAAATATTTTTTATATTTTATTTTTTTGTGTAGTTTAGATTTTTAATTTAGAATAATGCTTTTTTAATAAATAAACAAGCCTGAACTTTTTGATAATATATTTTTGTTATTATATTATATTTGAAAATTCCATTTAATTATATATATATTATCAGAAAAATTAATTTTTTTGAACATTTTGTTTTTTATAATAATTATTATATTTTATAATTATAATTAAATATATAACTGAAAACATAATTTTTTATAAAAAAACCTTGAATCTTTTATTAATTTTAAAAAAATGAAATTTTTGTTGTGATAATTTTTCTATAGCAATAATTATTACATATAGTTACAAAACTTGTCACTATATAACATTTTTGCACCCAAAAATAGGAAGAAATATTACTAATAGTATAAGTTTTCATAATGATTAAAAATATATAACTACAAAAATAATTAATTACAAAAAACTTAAAATTTATTAATTACAATATATTTTGTTACTATATAACATTTTTAACACTAAAAGATAGGGAGGAATGGTTCTTGTAGTATAACGTTTCATAATGATTAAAATATATAAGTACAAAAATAATTTATTACAAAAAACTTGAATTTTATTATTTAATGTAATAATTTTTTCTATAACAATAACTATAAATTATAATTATAAAAATTGTCAATATAACTTTTGAAACAAAAAAGTGGAGAAAAATAGTTATGAAAATTAATATATGCTATCACTATAGTTAAAATTTATAACTACAAATATAATTTGTCACAAAAACGTGAATATCATTATTTTTTGTGACAATGTTTTTTGTAATAATTATTAACACTTATAGTTACAAAATTTGTCATTATATGATTTTTTTTTGCATAAAAGCATATGGAGGAAAATCTTTGTGACAATATATTTTGTCACTATAATTAAAATATATAACGAAAAACATTTTTTTTTTTTACTAAAAACTCGAATCTCGTTATTTGTTGTGATAATTTTTTGTAACAATAATTATGGCTTATAGTTACAAAACATGTCATTATATGATTTTGTTTCTGTACACAAAATTGGAGATAATCATTTGTCATTATACATTTTGTCACTATAATTAAAATATATAATTACAAACAAAATTTGTCACAACAAATCGAAATCTCATTATTTGTTGTGACAATTTTTTCTGTCATAATTACTAAAATTTTTAGTTACAAAAGTTGTCACTATATGCCTTCAATTTGGCGCCAAAAAATTGGAGGAAAACATTTGTGACAAAAATTCGTAACAAAAATTTATTTTGTTATCATATGTTACACATGTTTGCTAAATGTGACAAATTATTATGACGATTTTAATTTTTATAATAATTATATATCTTTTTTTAAATCTAATTCGACGATTATTTATTTTGTCACCAAAAAACTACTAATAATTACTAATAATGATAAAATTAATTTTGACAAAATTAAATTTGTCACAATAGTAGAAATTTCTTATAGTGTCTGTTGGGGCTAAACTAAATTATTTGAGTGCTCAATCAACTGTTCAGACTTAATATGTTCTTTAACACAACTCAGAGATGACCACTCCAATGGTTCAAAGATATCGGTTTCATGATAGGATTCCTCTTTAGTACAAGAGTCATCAAAATCATTAATGTCAAGAGACCTGAAAAATCAAAGAAATCAGGTAACGATAAAATATTAAAGTATACAGTAGATTATACATGTTGATAAAGAAAAATCAAGTTCTAGTCATGCTATTTTGAGTTTGCACCAAGGATTGGTATCCCTAGGCCCTAGGTAGAACCAAGGTCTTTAATCTTTTCTTCTAAATCTTTCAAAAGCACTTGAAACCTGCAGCTGGTCCTTGCTTTTTTTTTTTTCCAAACCTTGGCCTAAATCTTTCTTAGACAATGGCCGAAGGAGAGGAGAAAAGGAGTTTCAATTGTGGCCACATGAAAATCTCCATTGGAACTCGCGGGGAAGGACTGAAAGAAGAGAGAAACTAAACTGCAAGTGGTGTTTTTCTGTGTTTGTTTAGTGTGGCAACGACTCTCTTCTTCCTCACGTGGGTTCGAACAAGATTCCCATTTATTGGAGGTGGCTTCACATATCAAATACCCTTTCGTGGCCTTGTCGGTGAATGAGTTTAAAGAACAAAATCTGCTACATGAGATGGTAACCAAGCGGCGTAGAGATGATGATAACTTTGCGAGTGTAAAGAGTAAACAAATACAAAAAATAATATTAATAAAAATAAATAAATAAAGCGATATCATCACAGTGTTAAAGAAAAAAAAGGTTGAGTGATAAAAAATATCTTGCCTACGGATTAAATTAAAAATGTTAAAACTACAATAAGTGAAATAGGAGACATAGTAAAATTAAGTGAATTTATAATTTATCTAATTATTAATGACATAACGATGTGATAATATTTTGTTATAGAAATTTGTTGTATATATTTTTTTATTAAACTTTAATTTGTGTGCCAATTTAATCATTATCGATCAAATCGTCGTTGTTGCCAGTCAATCGACTTCCATCTTGGTAGCCATTAATGACAAGATCAATACCAAAATATTCATATTTTTCTCATATTTCTTCTCCTTAGATTAGATTTCAACGAAACTCACTCTAAATCGATGTTCTAATATATTGATCTCTTTCAACGAAAGTACAATGAGACTAGTTTCGTGGTAGGTTATTCGCCTTCTCGAAAAAATGTTCTCACCGTTCAGATTTTTTAACAAATACTAAAAATCCTTGAAAACTAAAAAAAAACTCCAAATTAGAGCATTAGAATGTCAAAACTTTAGATGAACATCATAGATTTTGGGTTGGTTTTATGAAAAAACAATTCAAAGAAAGAGAAAAGCGTGAAATACGAACATTTGATATTGACCTTATCGTAAATGACAACTGATAACAAGAGATGATTGACCGGAAATGATAAAATTAATATGCAAACTAAAGTTCAATGCTTTATAACAATTAAAAGTTTAATGATAAAATCGATACACAAACTAAAGTTTCATATCAACATCAAACTCGTATGTCATCTAAGTGTTAATAGTTTTTTTAAAAAAAAATAAAAATGAAACAGAGAGCTATAGGTGTAGATTAAATTGTGCCCCGAACACTGAACTTCTTCCATGAGAACAACTTCAACCTTGTTAAGATATCATAAAGAAGAAGAATATATCAAAATCAATGCTACTCTAAGTACACATTGTTAGATGTTTTTATACAGCTCATACAATAGGTTACAAGTCTAACAGACTCTCTAACCACTCTAACAACCTCAACCACCTATTAACGGCTTCAACATTCATATACAATACGTGCACAATACTGCTAATATTCCCTTTACTTCATCCAATCTTCTGATCTTGTGTTGAACACAATTGTACCCCGATTCTCTCACGAAACACTTCAAATGTTGCTTTGGACAAGGGCTTAGTAAAACCATCTGCAACTTGATGAGCTGCAGGCACATAATTCACACACAACTGCTCAGCAACCACATTTTCACGAATGAAATGTACATCAAGATCTACATGTTTTGATTGTGCATGATATACATGATTGGCACTCATCGCCACTGCTCTTGTATTATCACACCAGATCAACGACTTCCCATTCTGCGTCAACCCGAGATCAGCTAACAGTGTACTCACCCAAGTGACTTCGGCTGTAGCATCAGCTAAACTCTTATATTCGGCCTCCATTGTTGATCGAGAAACATATTTATGTTTCTTGGAACTCCATACAACCAAATGTTTACCTAAAAACACACTATAACCATAAATTGATCGCCAATTAGTGACA